ACGGGGACAGTAACAGTCCCTGCCCTCTGAGAGTGGTTGGGAGGATAAACCAGTGAAGTGGGCTGTGAGGCACCGGGAGCAGGGCCTGGTACTCCCGGAACACCCCAGAAATGTTCACTCTTGTGCCTGTGGCTGGCGTTCCCACTGCCTCAATGATTCTAAGCCTCGGTTCCAAAGGGCAGGAGGGAGAGGTGGCGCTGGCCAGTGGCAGACCCTAGCCCGGCCTGACCCCCCTTGGCTGGTGGGGTTCGTGTGTGCACCCCAAACCGAGGTTTGGCGCAGACAGCTGAGGAGCCAGAAAAGGGTCTGGCGCCGTGATCAAGCCTGCATCACAAGGAGGCCCCAGGAAGCCACACAGGAAGTTGGGAGCCCAGATCCTCTCCTGAGAACTTAATCCCCCCAGATCGGCTGGTGCTAGATCTCGGTGGGAGGTCCCGGGTTAGCCACCACGGCTAATTACAAACGCTGCTGGCTCGGGCTCTCACTACCCGACCGAAGGGCTTCTGTGCTGATGGGGCTGGGGTTGTTTTCCTTCGGGAGGTTAGCGCCCCCGAGTCAAGGGGGAGACCGCGGACTGGAAGCCAGGCAGACCAGGGCTCAACGTGCAGCTGTCACTTCCAACCATGGGCCCTGGAACAGGTCACTGTGCCCTGCCAAGCCTCAACTTTCTTGTCTGTAAAATGGGGATGATATTGCCCACCTCACAGGATGGAGGCGGGATGTGTGTATTTGGCAAAGGTACTCTCAAGGTGGCGACTTCACTGCCATGTCTCAGGTGCTAAGTAGGGTGGGTGGTGCATAGTAGGGGTCCCGCTCCCTCCTGCCCTCAATCTCAGGGCAGTTTCCCTCTTTCTTGACAAAAAGGAGCCGGGACTCACAGTTACACGTCTGGGGCTTGTTCCTGCTCCCTGTCGCATGGCCCCAGCTGCTGCCTGATCTGTTGTAGCAGCCTCCTTGCTGGTCCCAGCCTCTAGTTCATCTTCTTGAAGCTGCCGAGATGATCTTTCAAAAATGATGCTCACTCTCTAGCTCCAGAACCTTCCATGGGTCCCCAGGGTCTTCATGGTCAACCCCCCAGCTTCTTGGAATGACATTCAAGCCCTCCTGCCCATCTCTCCCTGCAAGGTTTCTCCTGAATTCCCCTCTGTGTCCTCACGCCCTGTCTCAGTCCTCCTCGCTTGTTGAGCCCCTGCTCGCTCATTGCCTTCTCGCCTCTGTGCCCACCCATTGTGCCCCCAGCTGGTTAGGTGGCTGGTGCCCCTCCCCACAGCTCCTGCTTCCCCACGGCACTGGGACTGTCTCTGGTGGTCTCCGCCATGAGGTACGAGCTTCCTGAGGATGGAGCCTCGGCCTGTTCACTGTTGTCTCCCAGGCATGGTGCAGGGGGTGGCATAGAGTCAAGCAGAGGCCACGAGCTCAGTCCCCCACCACGACCAGATGGGGAACATCCACCTGAAGGGGCTTAGTGTAAGACTACAGGGAACGCCAGGGCCTGTGGCAAACAGGAGAGCTGCACCCCCCGAAACACAGCCATCTCTCAGCTCCAACTGAAACTTCCTGTGCAGAAATGTGGGCCAATGCCACCCAGACCTCCCAATTTTTTAAAAGAAGCCAGAAACCCAAATGTTATATGAAAGTTCCCTATGTTTTAAGACACCATGAGGATGTTCAGTGACGTCTGGGGCACGTGAGGTGGCCATCACTCTGAGTCTGAGCAAAGCTGAGACTAGATGGCCTATGGACCACCCACGCCCCTTCCTCATTATAGAGCAGAGGTTCTCAACTGGTCGTAGGGGGTGATTTTTCTCCCTAGAAATCTTGATAGTAGGGGCCAGGGATGCTGCTTAACATCCTGCACTGCATAGGCCAGTGCCCACGACAGAGCGGTACCCGGCCCCAAGGGTCAATAGTGCCAATCTGAGAATCTGCTACAGTGTTGCTGGTGGGAAGCAGCTGCTTAACTGCAGACTACATTTCCCAGCCTCCTTTGCATCTAGATGGGATCATATGACCATTTCTCACCAATAGAGTATGAGTAGAAGTGATGTGTGTCACTTCCAGGAAGAAGTGATTAAAAGTGGGTAAGCCTTCTCTACTGCAACCCCTCCGCTGAGGTGCTGGTCAGATAGAAGTTCTGGTTAGACAGAACATCCAGACATTAGAGGAGGGCAGAGCCACAAGGTGGAAAGAACCTGGGTCCCAGTCACCTGACCAGAAGCACCAGATGTTTGAGCTAGAAATAGACTCTTATTGTGTTAAGTTCTGGATTTACCTTTAACAAAAGACAGTTATCTGGACAAATAGAAGAGCATTTGTCAGCTCATCTTTGTTCTCCCTCCCTGAGAAAGCATCTGAGGGCAGCAGAAACCCCTGTGCTGTGGGTACTGACTGTCACCCTTAGCTTCCAGTTCCATGGGTGCTGATGGGTGCAGCGGGGACCTCTGCTTTGACTCCTGCCTTGGATTAGGACTCAGAGCCCCCCAACAGTTACAGGAAAGGGTGATGAGTGACCTGAGGGTGCGGGGCTCCAGCCTGGGTGAGGGAGACTCCAGAGCAGTGGGTACCTGAGCATCAGTGATCCTTGTTGAAGGACACATCAGCCCACAGCCGGGACTCAGGGCGAGCAGAGCTCCTTGTTCCTAACGGGATCCTAAGTGCTGTGTGTTCAACACTGTGCTGGGCACTCTACATTCAGGTGTAGGAATGGAGCATCAGCAAAGTTAAGAAACTTGCCTGAGGTCACAGAAACAAGAAAGAGATGGAGCAGAGACTTGAACCGTCACCTCTCTGACTCACAGCCCGTCAGTGTATCCCAAAGTTTAACAGATGCTGTTGGTGCACTCTTTGTATCCTTTGAGCTTTTCATGCTCCAGTACATTCCTGGGAGTTTTCTCTCTGCCCCTCCAGGGGTGGGTTGGAAGTGCCAGATTTTCCTGGAAGTGGCCCCTAGCCAATGAAAGATGAGAGTGAGAGAATAAATACCCCAGCTCCCTCACCCCAGGGTGGGATCACTCTGAGGTGCATCTTCTGAGCTGGCTCCTGGATGTCCATCGTGGAATTGGGCCCTAGATGCCCATAATGGCAACTGCTTAATAACACATCCTTTACCAGCCCCTTTCTCTTTCCAGTCTCACTTCCCCACTCTCAGCCTGGTACTGTCTGGGTTCCTTCTACATACCACTTGTACTCAAATCTTTGTCTCAGCGTCCGCCTCTGGAAAACCCAACCTGAGACACGAAGTATGGTTTGCACACCCTTGAGACATGTAAGTCGATTTCAAGTGGTACTGGCAAACTTTTTTTTTCTTAAAGATTTGTTTATTTTTTCCTTTTTCTCCCCAAAGCCCCCTGGTACATAGTTGTGTATTTTTAGTTGTGGGTCCTTCTAGTAGTGGCATGTGGGACACCTCCCCACTGTGGCCTGATGAGTGGTGCCATGTCTGCACCCAGGATTCCAACTGGTGAAACCCTGGGCCCGGGAAGTGGAACGTGTGAACTTGACCAGTCAGCCATGGGGCTGGCCCCTGGCAAACTTTTAAAAATTGACTTCTTAAATGTGAATTACAGAAGTGATTAGGAAATAATCATACAGAGATATGACAAAAATTGTGAAGATGGTATGAGAACAATACCTGAAAACACTGCACGGTACAGGTCAAGATGAGGCGCCTCTGTCCTGGCAAGAATGTAGGCATGTGGTTTAATTTGTTATCTCATCATCAGCTTACCTGTGCTTCCCTTTTTGCCAGGACTGCTAGGAAGCTCAGAGAGAAATCTGCTCAGTTGCATTTTCATTCCTGAAGCATGCCCCACTTCCGACACCCAGTTTATCATCTTTCTGAGTTCACATTTAACTGGCATGTGTTATGAGTCATTAGGACTGGCTGCCTCGGAACCTGGTTGGCAGGAGGTTTGAAATGCATTATAAACAAAAAGGATGTCATTAAGTATAGGAGCTTTGGAATCGGATGGACCTGGATTCAAATCCAAGCTCTACAACTCGGGGAACCTCCGGCGATCACCTCAGGCACTCCTGCCCCCCTGCTTTCCTCATCTGTAAATGTGGATGATGGGGCCTACTTCCCAGTGAGGGTTAAATGAGCGGAATCCCTATGAAGCAGCAAGCACGGAGCTTGGCTGATGGTAAATGATCGATGTTAATTGTTACAATGATGATTATTATCATTATAGGGACTTTCATTCCAACAAGGCAAAAGGAACGAACTTGGGGAACTCCATACATCCCCAAGGTCAGGTGCAATCCTGGCTCCAGCACCCAGGCTTGACAATCAGAAACAGAAAGGTCACAGTCGCCGTGCTAGGCTGAAGCTGTGAGGGCAAAGAACATGTCAAGACTGTTCATCATTAAATTCTTTTTTTTTTTTTTAAAGATTTTATTTTTCCTTTTTCTCCCCAAAGACCCCCGGTACATAGTTGCGTATTTTTAGTTGTGGGTCCTTCCAGTTGTGGCATGTGGGATGCCGCCTCAGCATGGCTTGATCCGAACTGGCGAAACCCTGGGCCACCGAAGTGGAGGGCGTGAACTTAACCACACGGCCACGGGGCTGGCCCCCTAAATTCTTAAGACCTGCTACAGTGCCAGCACATACTTGGTGTTTGTTGAGTGAATGAATGAATGAATGAGCAGCTGCAAAGAGCCAGGATATGTAGTTGTTTGTGGGCTCTGTGTAGCAAGGGTGTCACAAGGTCCTTGAAGGCCTTCCTGCTGTGGGTTTCAGGGCACGGGGGCGTTCTTCTAGAAGCCTCACAGCAACCCAGGAGTGGGCTGTCTCTCCTCTCACAGATATGAAAACTGAGCTTCGGAGACACTGAGCGATTGGTCCAAAGTCCCCCAGGTAAGGAGTGGTGAGGCCCCCCAGGCCAGCAGGAGAGCCCTTCCCCCACGCCCAACCCCCGCCCCCGCCCTAGCACTCCTGGGCCCTGAGTCCAGTCTTCCCAGAGAAACGAGCTTAGTTCACTGACCGCAAAGACTCAGCTTGGTCCTCAGAAATATTTGGAAAGTTTTATTTAAATGTTTTGTGTTCCCTTTTAACCAACACCAAAAAGAGAAAAAATTTTTTTGCCGTTCCAAACAGGAGAGTCGCTTCAGAGAGCAGCTGGCGTGTATGTTCAGAGCCGGGCCAGCCCGGGCCCCCTGGCGTTGGCCGGCTAGTCCCAGCAGTTGACTTCCTGGGAGCCCTGGACGGCCTTGGGATGAGCGAGTGAGCAAACCCCATCCTGAGGAGAAGGACTTGGTCTCCCCTGCAGGTAGGGACATGAGCATGGTGGGGCCAGGTGGTTCCAGAGGAAAGGAGAGGAGAATGGGAGAGTAAGATCCGGAATGTTCCATGGAAGCTCCAGGGCCTCCAAGTCGGAAGAAATATGTTTGCTGGAAAAATAAGATGCTTTGAGAATTTCTGCAGTCTGTGCTCTCTGCCTGCCCGAGAGAAGCTACCCTGTTGGCCAAAGGAGCAGCGGGGAGGGGCAGAGGCCAGGAGCTGGTCTGGCCCCGGTGGAGGATTCCGGAGCAGACCGAGGCGGGCAGCAGCCTTTGGTTTCCTGGGTCTCCTTTCCGGCAGCTGCAGGGGCTGTGGAGGCCTCTGCATCCCCGCCCCTCGAGGAGTGGGCTGCTGGGCGGTGGGCCGCGCTGGGAGAGGGAAGCTGGCCATCTGTCACGGGCTGGTGGGTGCCCGGGCCCCAGGCCCTCAGAACAGGATGCCCAGGGGGAGCAGGGCCAGCAGGAGCAGCAGGGGGCCTGGGGAGGGGCTGCCCGCCAAGCTGGCAGAGGCGCAGTGGTCTCGGTTGGCACCAATGCAGGCTGCGTAAGCCATCACGTGGGGGATGTAGTTCTGCTCGTGGACGCCGTGCAGCAGGTGCGCCATGGGGCCCTTGGCGAAGACGGCGACGTCCTCCCCACCGTGGGTCTCGTGGCGCAGGGGCACGGCGGACTGCGCCTGGTAGTTGTTGTGAGCTGCGGGCCAGAAGAAACACTTGCTGAGAGCCTGCCAGGGGCCTGGCGCTAGGCGGCAGCTTCCCCAGGCGCCTGCCAGCCTGCCTTGAATGCCCCCAATTTACAGAAGAGGAAACAGTTTCTGTGCAGGGAAGTCATTTTGTGCAAGGCCACAGGATTCAGATCTGAGTCTCTTCTGACACAGAAGCCTGTGATCTCCGCCCCCGGAGGAGAAAGTCAGCCTCATCTGGGCTGATTGGATTAGGAGGGAAGAGGCAACCCAGGAGAGCCTCTTACCACGGCTGCATCATTAGATCCCCAGGGCTACTGGGGACATCAGGAACAAAGGAACATTCAACGACATAGAATTGGATGAACACACTGGGAAGGCTCGGGTGTTGGAATATTATACAGCCAGTAAAAATGACAGTGTAACATAGCAAGCACTACACGTGCCAGGCTCCACGCCAAGCTCATCAGACCCATTTAGTCCTTCAGGCAACCTTGGCAGGTAGAATTCTTTTATGGAAGAAACTGAAGCTCAGAAAGGTGAGGTTACGTGCCCAAGGACACAGAGCTGCTCAAATGTAGAAGGGGATTCCAACAGAGATTGTTCTGACTCAAGTCCTGGCTATTCCGAGACCCCTGACTTTGACCAGAAGCCTACACTCTGTTCCCAGGCCCATCCCCAGGGGGTGCCCTGTCCCTTTTCAGCCCCGGGTCTCGGCAGTCTCACCATAGTCCACCATGGAGACATTCTCTCGCTCACCGCCCACCACCTTGTAGCCAGGCCCGTTGCCATACAGGATGGCAGTGAAGGGCTTCTTGTCCGTGTCGCTCACCATGGGGGCCAGACCTGCACAGGGAGGCATTGGGACAGGGGCCATGTTGGAGGACCAGGAGTACAGTCCCTAGACCCCAGCTTGGCAACCCCTGAATCCCCTTGGAAGGACCCTGAACCACCTCCATGAAGCCACGTTCCAAACCCAGTTTACTTCCAACCAACTATCCCTCAGTTTTTCACTGTGCCCACATCCCTCCCATCTGTCGGTCCGTCCATCCATCCATCCGCCCATGCATTCATGCATGCATGCATCCATCCTCTTCTCTCCCCGTCCATGTACCCATCCTCGCTCTCCTTTTTCTATCCATCTGTTGTCCAGGCAGCCACCCACCCATGCACTCACCTCACTCTCCCCCCTCCTCCTGCACTCCCCACTCATCAGTAACTTCTCCTCCCGACCTCATTCTCGTGGAGTCCCACCCGTGCCAGGCTCTGGGCTTGCTGTCTGTCCCCAGCTACACCTGCTCCCAGACGGGCAGACCCTGCGCGTGCCCCGCTGCCACCCCAACAGAGGCCCACCTACCAAAGATGGAGTTGCCACGGGGAGTGTACCCGCCAAAGGTGAAGACGTGGGAGTGGTCAGCAGTGACGACGGTCAGCGTGTCTTCCTGGGAGGTCATGTCGCCCGCCTGCCCGATTGCCCGGTCCATCTCCACCACCTCATGCAGTGCCTGCTTGGCCTTGCCCTCGTGGTGCCCGTGGTCAATCCTGCCTCCTTGGGACACCAAGGCAAAGGGTCGGGTGAGGAGGAGGGGAAGAAGATCAGGACCCACACCGCCGCCGGACAAACCTTTCTGCGATGGGGAACCACCACGTGCCAAGCACCATCCTCGGCGTTTCATGCAGCCGTTCAGGCTTTATAGCGGCTCAGAGAGGGCAAGTCGCTGGGCCAAGGGCCCACGCAAGGAGAGGCAAAGCCGGGATTTAAAGCCGATCCACCAACTGAAATCTTGTGCTCCCTCCACCACCCCACACTGCCCCCAGCACCGCTTCTTCAGCTGCTTGAAGGAGTCCCGACAGACCTCGGAGCCGTAGGCAGGGGAACAACATGGTAGTCTGAGTGCCTACCAGGTGTCAGGCATAACAAGCTGATGTCTTGTGTCCCCTTTGCAACAATCCTGGGCAGCGGTGGGTACAATCGGCCCCAGGCACAGATGGAGCAACTGAGGCCTCCCGTGGGGTGAATTCAGGGGTGACTCTCTCTCAGGCCCCTGTTTTTCCATCTCCACTTTAAACACATCCCTCTGAGCATAAAGGGTGTTGAAAGCCCTTGGTGCCGGGGCAGTGCCCACGGTAGGCTTCCAGAGAGGCCTGTCAAAGCCTGAATCCCGTGCACCCCACCCCCAGGGCAAGCGCAGGGGGCCTGGTGTTAAGCCTGGCTTAAAGGTCACAGCTAAGGGTTGCAGGACCTGAGGGAAGGCCTCCCGGCTTCTAACAGTAAGACGTTGCCTGGCGGACACTCCCAGCTCTGAGGGTCCTGAGCCTGGGCGCCTGGGCACCCTCCCTTCCCACTGGCCTGAGCCTCACCACGCTGGCCTGGCAGGCTCGCAGGGTGCGTCCTCCCTTTGTTGTGGCTCTGGGAGCAGTTGGCCTGGCAGGCCCAGTCCTGGCCCGCTCACAAAGAGGACCGCCCCCAGGGAGCTCGTGCTCACCACCACTGGCTCCCGGCTGGGTCTTCGGCATCACAGGCCCGTTCAGGGCCAGGCCGAGACCGCCGTGCTTGAGTGGGAACCCCGGGGTTTGGCAAGAGAGCAGCCAAGCTGGGCTGGCAGCCACTGGCCTCTGGAGGGCGGAGGGGCCTGAGCGCATATGTATGTGTAGTGAGAATGTGTGTGCAAACGTGTGTGTGTGTGTACATGTAGATCTCATGGAAGACAATGGCTGTCAGAATTTTGGAAGTCTCCGGAAACTTCATCACTTCCTCACACTTCCTCTTGTTATTGACTTAGCTCTTATGTAGTCATAATAATGATATTAATAAACACCGAGGATTTATTCTCTCCTGGACCCTGTCCCAAGTACTGTATGTCTCTGAATGCGATGGATGATAATAACCCTCCTAGGACAGGGGGACTATTTTTGGCCTCGTTTCACAGGAACATACAGGTAGAGGTCATCCCGCCAGGGGATGGCAGCATCAGGACCAGGACCCAAGAGTCTGATTCCAGGGCTCACAACAGCTCAGGGAAACCCTGTGAACATTGGCACACAGCACTGCCGACTCCTGAAGGTTCCGGCTCTCCCAACCTGGGGGACCCCAGGATCCCCAGGGCCTGCTCTGGGCCTTCTCTCGGGGTAAGGACTCGTGGATCTGACCTCGGCCCCACACGTGCCTATAACAGCAGCTGTGTGCTGTACAGCTGCGAGGGCTCCCGCCGGCCAGTGGGCATCGGCAGAGGAGGACGCTGGGCCTGAGTCCTTGAGCCCAGGCAGGCGGCTGCTCAGAGTGCATATGTCTACTGGGGCCTGCTGATTTGTCTCTCGGGAGGAGTCAAGCTGAGGGGGCTGCATGCCCCTCCAGAGCCAGGTCTCAGGGAGGGACCCCAGAAAGACAGAATGCCACCTTCACTCTCAGGAAGACTTCCTGGACCAGTAAGCCTGCCGCAGCGTCCCCATGCCCAGGGGAGAAGAGCTTGTGAGGCTGGGAGCTTCAAACCATCCACAACCCCCCCTCCCCAAAGGAATTTCCCCCACACCCACAAACTGGATGGTTCTCTTTGAGAGCTGGACCGCCCATCCCTGACCCAGGGCTCTGTATCTGGACGTTCCCGGGGAAGCTGCCCTGCGGCCGGGCCTGGGCGCCCACCTTCCACCAGCAGGAAGAAGCCTTCGGGGTTCTTGCTCAGGATCTTGATGGCCATCTCCACCATCTCGGAGAGCGAGGGGTCGGTCACGTTGTTCCTGTTCAGCTCGTACTGCATGTCCCCCGGCTCAAAGAGACCTGAGGAGGACACGAGGAGGGTGTGGATGTCGGGAGCTCAGGACCCTGCCAGGCGGACCCCTCTGCCCGAGGAAGGTGGGGTGTCTCGGGGAACCACATGCAATTTGGGGGTAGAGCTGGGGAGGGAGGTTCATCGGGATGGCTCCAGTGGCGCGAATGCTGCCAGGGGCTGAGGTGGCGCTGCCTCCTTTCGTCTTCAGAGCCACATCATGGGGAGGGGGCCCATGTCCACTTTACAGAGAAGGAGACTGAGGCTCAAGTGGTCAGTAACTCGCTACTTTCAGCTGCTAAGAGGCAGATCTGGGATTTAAATCCACCAGACCAGCCCCAGACTGAAGGGCCCTGGACACGGCACCGTGGCCCTCGGGCAGAGGACTGTCCTGGACTCGATGGGGCAGCTTGGGTGTGTATTTAAAGGCCAGGTTTGAAGGGCACAGTGTCCTGTGCAGTGGAACAGCCAAAGGTTTGGGGTCACTGTCCCTTCTGTTCACTGAGCTGGGTTTTCTGCCTCGTGAAATAAGGAGAGGGATCCATTCCTTGCCTACATCACTAGGTTCTACATGTACCAAGCTGGTGTTTCCAGTCCTGGATTCCTTCCAGAACACCCTGCCCCTTCCCTGAGTGTGTGCGCAGCCAAACAAGAGCTCCAATTACCAGGTGCTCACTCGGTGCTGCGTGTCGTTCTAAGGGCTTTGGAAGCACGTAGGCGCCAGCCTCCAAGATGGCGCCCACGGTCCCTGCCTCCTGGAATCCACACCCTTGTGTGTCTCCTCCCACACCGACTGGCACTAGCCTGTGCATCCAACAGAACACTGCAGAAATGATGGCGTGTGACTTCCAGGCCAGGGCATGAGACACCGCGGCTTCTGCCTTGCCTGCTCTTGGATTTCTGGAGAAGCCAGCCGCCATGTTGTGAGGACCCCCAAGCAGATCTTTGGAGAGATGCATGTGGCAAGGGACCGAGGCCTCCTGCCAATAGCTGCACCAGCTTCGTAGCCATATGACTGAGCCATCTTGGAAGGCACAGTACCAAGACTGCAACCTCATGAGAGACCCAGCTACGCCCTCCCAACTGCCTGACCCAAAGAAACCGTGCGAAGTAATAAATGTTTACTCTTGTTTTAAGATGTTATGTTTTGGGTTAATTTGTTAGGCAGCAACGGATAACTTTTCCAATGCATTAGCTCATTGAATCCTCATGACGACCCTGCGGTAGGCCTTACCATTATCCTGTTTTATAGAAGAGTCTTTATTCTACTTTATAGAAGAGCAATCTCTGAGGCACAGAGAAGAGAAGCCACTTGCCCAAGGTTGCACAGCTCATAGAGGATAACACCAGGATTTGAACACAACACTCCAGCTCTAAGACCTGTCAGCGGAGCTGTCATGCTACATGGGTGCATGCATAGCGCTACACAGCCTGTGTGGAGTGTAGGGTTTGTGCCGTGTGACCCAGGCAAGCAGAGGGCTGTGTGTGTGTGTCCGGGGGACCCTCCAGGCACTCGTCTCTGAGCCCATAATCTCCAAGGACACACCCAGGACCTGGGGCTGTGCTCCTTGGGAAAGGGCTTTGGAGATTTTGCCACCACTTACTGGGTACGACAGCCAGAGGGGAGAGAGGACCCAGATGTCTGCATGGCGGTGCTCAGGGTCTCATTCCACCTAGCCCGGAGCCGCCCCTGGGCCCTGCACCTGCTCCCCACTTTCTGGGGGCAACCCCCAGTCAAGATGAGCAGAGACAACTTGGTTGCCTTCGGTCCTGGCCACACAGCAGAGCTGGCTCCAGGTTCCCCGCCCCACAGCCTGGGATGTTTAAACCCCAGCTCCAGCCAGACTAGTGGCCGCTCTGGGCCACAGCTCTAATCAGCTGTGTGGCATGCCATAGGTCGCTTCCCCTCTCTGAGCTGCTGTTTCCCTTTGTGCTCAATGGAGCTATTCACCTCACACAGCCAACAGATTTCAGGCCTAATTCTATGAACCAGGACCCCTTCCTCACCCGTCCCAGGTCCTGGAGCCTAACAGCAAAGCCCCTAAGCAGGGGGGCAGGCTGGGGCCTCGTCCCCAGGTGCTGGACTCCACTCACCCAAGAGGTAATCCACGGTGTAGGGGTCCAGGGTCAGGAGTTCGGTCCGGTTCCAGATGTAGTGAGAGTGCTAGGAGGAAGGGCCTGGGTCAGCCGGGCAGGGGCCGGGGGAGTTGAAAGGACTGAGCCAGCTGGTTTCAGAGTCTGGGGCATGTATGTTTCCTTCAGTCATTTAACAATCCCCCCCGAGGACCAACCATTCCTGCCCTCAAGAAATGGCAAATAAGTCAGCAATTCTAACCCAGGGGATGAGAATTCTGAGAGACCGGGGGACGCTGTGAACCCAGAGGCAGGATCAGGGAGGGCTTCCTGGTGGAGGTGATGTCCTAATGGGTCCCTGGAGGACAAGGAGGACTTATCAGCCTGGGGTCAGGGAGTAGAGTTCCAAGCAGAGGGGAGGGATCATGAGGCCAAGAAGAGGAAGGCCCAGGTCATAAGGGGCCTTGAGTGCCCTCCGAGGGGTATGGATTGTGTGTATTCTGGGTCTGTGGAGGGCCACAGAGGAAGCAAAGGCCTAGCTCTGCCCTGGGGACCCCATCTAAGGGGCGATAAAGGAAAAGGCCATAGGAAGAGGGGGGCCAGCTTGCCTGGAGATGGTACCACTCAGGGCCTGGACTGGGGGTCCTGCACTGCCAGGAATCAGCTGTGTGTCCTTAGGAGAGCCCCTTGCCTTCTCTGGGCAATGGCATTGGGATCAGTGGTTTTCAAACTTCAGGGGCTATTGGAGGGAGGCTGAGAAGGCTAAGAAAGTGGGGCTCTGGGCACCCCTCACCGCTTCCCTGAGACGGCCTTCCTGTGTAATCTCAATGACCCTCACATCAACCCTGCAAGGTAGGTACTGTTATCCCCATTTTACAGATGAGGACACTGAGACACACAAACGACATGGCTATTAAGTGGTAAACGTGAAACTGACTCTAGAACTCACTCTATCTTAGACCCCACAGTGATACCCCATCTGGTCCAGTGGTATGGGCTCTCTCCCTCTGGGGTCTAGACTGAGCTCGTGGGTAAGCACCCTGCCTGGGCAAGAAGGATTAAGCTCTGGTTCCACGTTCCAGGGAGAGAAACTGAGGCTGGGAGGCGAGGTGTCTCTCCGGCTTGGGCCAGGAAGGGGCTCTGGCCCAGCTTGAGCTGACTCAGAAGGAATGGAAAAGCTTGCTTCCCAGATGCTCAGCTCCCCCCATCCCCACCCCTGTGGGGGCCGTTCCCCAGCCTCCACCCCCACCTCGCTCTCAGCCCAGCCCCTCCCCGGAGGCCAGTCCTGGAACCCTCTGAAACCCAACCCCAGAGTGACATCAAAGTGGCTGCCAGGCTGCTCCCCACTGTCTTCAGCCTGACTACAGTCATTTCCAGACGCAGCTGCCCCAGGCCAAGCACAGATGTGAAGGGCAGAGCCGCCCCAAGGAGCCAGCCCTCGGGCCTTCCCACGCTGCAGCCTCCCTTCCCAGCACGTGCCCTCGTGGCTCGGCCAGCTCGCTGTGAGGGCTTCCTCAGCCCTGGCTCGCACACTCCCCTGCTGCCTCCCTGCCTGCAAGATCCTCCTCTCCTCAGGGCTTCTCGGCCCCTCCCTTGGCGATCTGTCCCCTCTGGGTTCCCGTAGGTCCCCGGCTTCCTGCCACCCAGGCACACAGTGGTCCACATTTCCCTGACCGTCTGCTTCATCCTTTGGACCTCACACCCAGCCAGGGGCCCTGCACACAGTGGGGGCTTAGTGGACTGAACGTCCATGCAGGCTGTTCCTTTGCACACCTCCTCCCTACTGCCTAGCTCTCTCCAGTGCCCTCCCTTGAAGGAAGGAATTGATTGATCACGTACAATGTGCCATTCACTTATCTGTTAGACCCTTTGAGCCCATTGAGGTAAGAATCATGACCCCATTTTACAGAGAAGAAAACGGATTCACAGAGGGCTCATGCAGCCCCACCCAACTGCAGGCCACCCCTGCAACCCTCGGGTCCCGGACCACAAAGGGCTACCTTGTGCCTGGGTTTGAAGCTCTTCCAGATGTCGATGAGGTTCAGGCCATCCAGTCTCGTGCCCCTGGCCTTCTCGTCCATCTCATACTCCACGTCGGTTCTATTCTTGGGGAACATGTACTTCCGGCCGCCCCCCATGATCACCTGAAGGGGACAGGAGCCATTAGCACCTGGGAGGTTCTGAGACGTCCAGAAGCCTCCGTGGCCCCACCTGGAGAGCTGGGCACCTGTTGGCCCCACGGATGGTGTGGATGCTTCTCGAGCTCAGCAAGTCCTGGGTTCAGACCACGCTGCCCACCCTGAGCCTCCACTTTTCCAGTTGAAGGAGATAAAATCGTGAATCTCTGGGGACTGTGGTTTGGGGCTTCTGGGTAAAATACTGAAGCTACTGATAACCTCCTTTCCCTGGCTTTCAAGAAGGCTCACACATAAGCCCCGCTGTGCGAGAACAATACCATCCATAGAGCGCTCACCGTGCCAGGCACCATGCACTTCGGGTCCACATCTTAGTCAACTTCACACCAAGGCTGCAGGGGAAACTGTGTCCCCATTTTCCAGATAAAGAATTGGGCACAGAAAAGTGATTTCCTTCCCCCAAGGCCACACAGCCAGTAAGGGACAGAGCAAGGACTCGAACCCGAGGCTTCTCTCGCCCGGCCCCAGGGCCCTGCCTCATCCCTCTGTGGAGCGGGGGACGGGGACTCCGAAAGCCTGCGCTCCCCAGTGAGCGGCAGTGCCCGCAGGCGCGGGGCCCCAGCCAGGAGGTCTTCGGGGCAGCCCCGCTGGGACCTGGGCACACAGTGGCCGGTGCTCGTCTGTGCAGTTCCTGCCAGACTAATTTTAGCCACCGTGGCTGGCGTGCGCGGGCGGATGGACGCGGGGTTGTTTGTTTTCCTTGGGAGCCCATGTTTGAAGTCCTGACTATTTTTAAAATGGGGCCAAGAGCATAACAGCCGCCGCCTGCGGTGACCACCACACTGGTGTCCTCCTGTCACCACAGGCGTCAGGCCAGGCTGCCGCCCCTGGCAGACACGACACCTTGGGAGAGCAGAGCCCAGCTACTGCTGACCTCAGGTCCACCGGCCCAGGCCTGGCGTGTGCTCGGTGCCCTTCGCTACCTTCCACCCCATTTCCCTCCTGAGAACCAGGTTCTGTGGGGCGTCCAGGCCGCTGGCCGAGGGGCGCAGGACCAGTCTACAGCATGGGGAACTGCAAAGGGCACAGATTCTAAAGTCAGACTTGGGTCTGAGTCCTGACTCTATCACTTATTGCCCACGGGCCTGTCACTTAACCTCTCTGAGCCCGTTTCCTTAGATATAAAATGGAACTAACAGCAGCCCCAGGACTGTCACAGGAGGAAAGGCAGCGATGCAGTGTAGTCCCAGCATGAGGGGCAGGGCGGGCTCCGGTGGAAGGTATTGTGCCCGTCAGGAGTAGTGGAGGTCAAAGGGTATCCACGGAGGCCCGGTCCCCACTGCCAGCCCCAGCCAGGAGCTCTGGGGGTGGGGCAGCCAGGGAGAGGAAGAAGGAGAAGGGGACCCCAGGTCACTGGCCCCTTGCCCTGCCCCATTGTTCCCACAGAACCTGACCCCTTGGCGTTTTCCGAGTGGAAAATGAAGCCCCCAATCTTCTTGCCTGGAGCCTCATCATTTCCAGCCTCAGCAGGGACTTCACACGCTCATTAAACTCCCAAATAACAGACTTGCTGTTTGGCTTTGGGGTTTGGGTTTGTGTCTTTCTTTTTTTTAGCAAAAGATATTTATTTTCAGGGCGGACACCAGGATTTTTGTTTCATGTACAGCCTGGGGGCTGGGGGGCTTGGGGGTTCTGGTGTAGGGGTGATGCAGGCGCAGATGGGAGAGGAAGGGACGAGCATGGGAGAGGAGGGAGGGGCAGCCCTCACGTGCGCCCCACCGCCCCGCTCACGCCCCAGCTCATCCCCCAGAGCCCCCTCGGCCCCCTCACCCCCGCCACCGGAGAAGTCTGCCCTAAGTGCCGGGCCCCCCTCGGGTGTTCCTGCCAAGGCTCTGAAGAGCGGCCCCGTAATTACACCCTGAGCTTGTACAACAAATGTTCTCACATCCACGACCTCATCTCGGCCTCCAGCGGCCCTGGGAGGGGGCAGGTGGGACTCTGTTCTTGGTGCACAGGTGGGGAAACTGAGGCTCTGGGAGGGGAAGTGACTTGCCCCAGGACACATGTCAGGCCAGGGTGAAGTCAGGACGGTGGATTGCGTCGGACGCACGTCCACTAGGAGAGATCCACAGGACGCTTTGTCCTGAAAGGGGCGCTCAATCCACTGCTCGGAAAAGGGACATCATGAGCTGGCAGAAGGGCTGGGTGGCACTCAGAAACTGGGGGAGATTGCACAGGGGGCAGAGGGCGGGTCTGGGAGCCAGCGAGTTTGTCTGGTGGGGGTAGACACAGAGGTGTGTGGTAGATGCGACCTGGGGGCTTTCTCTGAGCCTCCCTGAACCCCCATTCTAGGCTCACGGGGTCAAAGTCCCCTTGCTCCTCGCCAGCCCCAGCAGTAGGTAACGAGAGCCTGAAAGAGAAACAAGCCAGCGGTTCTCATGTAAGATAGAGTAGGGACCCACCTGAGCACCAGGTGGACGATGTCTGGGGTGCACAGACACACCTGCACACAGGAACCTCTTCAATATGTCGAAGCTTGTGTTTTGGGGCAGGGACATGTGGCTCATTCATAAATGCTGCCACTTTCTGAGCACTTCCTAGGTGCCAGGCCCCAAGCTACACTCTACAGGGGTTATTTTATTTAGATCTTGCAATGGGCTTATGAGGTAGGTACATTTCACAAAGGGTTGTAAAAGGGAAGGCTCAGAGAGGTTAATTAACTGGCCCAAGGGCACACAGCTAGCCACCAGCAGGACAAGGATTGCAACTCAAGGTTTTTTGTTTATTTTTTGGTGAGGAAGATTGGCCCTGAGCTAACATCTGTTGTCAGTCTTCCTCTTTTTGCTGGAGGCAGACTGTCACTGAGCTAACATCTGTGCCCATCTTCCTCTATTTTGTACGGGGGACACCACCACAGCATGGCTTGATGAGCAGTGTGTGGGTCTGCACCTGGGATTCAAACCTGTGAACCCTGGGCCACCAAAGCGGAGCACGTGAACTCAACCACTACGCAACCGGGCCAGCCCCCCGAACCCAAGTTTTAGAATGAGACCTTGCGCTAACCACTGCCCACACCACCTTTTCTCTGGGCCTGCCGGTGGAGTCCGGAGTCCCACGTCTGTGCACACGGGATTTGCAGGGTAGGCAGTCCCCTCAGATGGACTGTGTCACCCGCTCCTCCCCGTGTTGGGGGCGTGCAGCGCCAGGTCCCACTCTACAGAATAAGCCCTGGGCGCCTGCTTCTTGGGGTGCGGTGGGGGCCGCATCAGGGTTTATGCCCCGGCTCGCCGCAGAAATCCTCCCGGGCCTCCCGGCCCCGACCGCAAATCCCCTAATGGGCTGGGAGCCCTCCCAGGTGTGAGGGGAGCCAGGCCAGCGGCTCTTCCCGGGCCAGCCTGGGCCTGCCACCTCGGGCCCCCAGAGCCCCAGCTCTCAAGCCCGTGCGTCCTTGCTCTGGCCGCCCCCCCGCACTCGCCTCGATGTCCTTGATGTTGTGCACGAGCTGGTAGGCAATGTCCTTGCAGCCCTGGCTCAGAGCCTCCGAGGGCATCTCGTTGTCCGAGTACCAGTCCCGGTCGGCAGAGTGGGCGTAGGCGGCGCTGGGGGTGGCGTGGTTCACTCGCGTGGTGGTCACAATGCCCACGGATTTCCCTGGGGTGTGGGAGGGAGGGGTTGGCTTCGTCTGGAGATGGGGGTGTCCAAGCTGTCTTCTCCCTCCTCCTAGCTAAATTCTGGCCTCTGGTCAGTGCCACTGACTGCTTGGGCCTCAGTCTCCCCATCAGTACTAAAGCGGGGGATGGGGGCTTCCAAATATCCTGGCAGCTCAGACGCTCTGCCTCTGTGACCCGCCCCACTCCTGAGGGCCCTGAGCTGTGAGCCCCTGGGCTGGGGCCCTCCCTTCCATCAAGGACACAGCAGAGCCTCACCCATGCAGGACGCCCCCTCGGGGCCCTGCAAGAACACAGGGACCCCTCCTAAGGGCTCTCAGACGGAGCCTGGTTCTGTCACCTGCATCAGCCAGCCTCACACCCTGACTCTAAGTCCCTGGGGGCATTGGCCAGGGCCTCCCAACTCCAAAGAGGCAGGGAGAAGGAGCAGACGTTTCCCAACCTCCCATGGGGCTGGCGCTGGGCTGGGCCCCTTACCATTCTTCACACCAAACCTATGAGGGGGCTATGTTCTCATGCCCATTTTATAGTCAAAGAGACCCTGGAAAATGAGCTTGAACCTGAACCCACATCTAAGTCACCCCCGAACCACTAGCCTTCCCTGTCATGGAGGGGAGTCCATGAACATTTCAGACTCCCGGAACACCAGGGCTGGAAGAGCCCCGCAGGGCATCTTTTTCTACTCTCTCAGCATTACACAGTTGGAACGACTGAGGCCCAGGCAGGTTACAGCACTGGGCCCCATTCCCCACCACGACCCCCACTCACCAGCCTCCTTGGCCCAGTGCAGGATGGAGGTGACCTCGTTCCCCTGAGTCGTGTTGCACTGGGTGCGCTGGGTCGCTGCGCTCACCCCAACAGTGCCCTCATTAGCCTTCACCCCACACAAGTAGGCAGTGGCGGTGCCTGCGCTGTCAGGGACCTGAGCGTTGGTGTTGTATGTCTGCAGGTGGAAAAGGAGGGTCGGGGATGGCCAGGCCTTGGTCCACCCTGCTGCCCCCAAGCCATCCCCACTTGCACCATGGGGCCTGGGGCATGAGGGAGACAGAGAGGCCTCCCGCAGCCTTGGCTGAGCCCTGCTACCCACCGAGGTCCCCCCAGAGCCACAGGAGCGCCCAGCTGCCTGCTTCCCGCCCCTACTCCTTGTGCCCTGGCAGCCAGTGCAGCGGGAAGGGGTGGGAAGGCAACTCGGAGACATATGGAGATATTCCAACAAGGAGTGGGGGCTGGGTCAGCTCGGGCCTCTCTCTGGGTCTGGGGCTGCAGGCGCCAGCAAGGGGAAGGGAGGTGGGTGAGCCCTGGGGATGGGAGAGGGAGGGCAGGTCTTGAAGGAGGCCGGGGGTGGGGGGCTGGGGGAAAGGGAGGGAAAGTGAGGGAGAGACAGGACCTAGAATGGAGAAATAGGGAAGGGGCCCTCCCACGCCCTCCCACGCCCTCCCATGCAGATCTCTGGTAGAAGCCCCGAAACTGTTTGCCTGTCTCCGTTCCCCACCAGCCTCAGAGATCCCTGAAGGCACAGAAAACATTACAATCCCTGCTATTCCGCTAGAAGTGGCCTGAGCCTGACCTGGAGTGTCCAGTGGGTCTTTATCACAGAACATCACTACCACCACCAACTACCACCCCAGTAACAACAGCCACGCTTTCCATCAGTAGTCTAGTTAACTTCCCGAATCATCCTGGGAGAGAACGGAGGCAGCAGAATCGCGTGCAAAAGAGTAGACACTGCATGATCGCATTTATATCAAGTACAAAAGCAGGAACAGCTAATCCATGGTGGGTGGGGAGGGGAATAGGGACTGGAGGGAGCTCGAGGGGACCTCAGGCTGCTGTCATGTTCAGTTTCTGAAACTGGACGCTGGTTATACAGACATGCAGTCTGTGAAAATTCAAGCTGTACGCCAGTGTACTTTTCTCTATATATGTCATCCTTCGATAGATTTTTAAATCAATGAGCTAAAACCTTCCATATAAAGTCCTAGGAAGTAGCTGCTGCTGTCTTCATTTCACAGTGGGGACACGGAGACCTCAGGAGGGCCGAGCACCTTGCCAGCAGCGTGGAGAGATCTAGCGGACGCCTTCCCTCTGCCCATCCCTCCGTGCTGACAAGCTGAGCGGTGGGAGGCTGGGCCCGGTGGGTGCGGGGCCGGAGCTCACCTTGGAGAGGGCCACGAAGGGGAACTTGTCCATCTCCAGCCTGCTCTCCTCCCCAGGGCTGTTGTGGAGCTGGCCCTTGAGGATGCGGGCGGCCGTCACCGTGGAGACGCCCATCCCTGCAGTTGGGGTGGGAGGCCTCAGTCTCTCCGGCTCCCGGCCTCTCCAGTCAGGCCTCTGGGGCACCCATAGCTCTCTAGCTGGATGCCAAAGCGGGCTGGGCAGTGGCCACCAGAGCATGGCTCTACAAATGTGACCCCAGGCGGCCCCTCTCTCCCTTCCCTTCCCAGACCCTCAGGGGACCACCTGGCAGAGCAGATCTCTTAGGTCCACAGCCTGGCCCCCCATCCTCTTCAACATGCCCCCCAGGGCCCTAGCCTCTTCAACACAACCCCCTTCACCTTCACCTGGGCCCCTGGGCCGCTATCTAGGTGCCCCCATGCACCCCCGCCTTGGTCCCCCAGGCCTCACCATCTCCCAGGAACATGATGATATTCTTGGCCACGTTGGTGTTGAGCTTCTGAAGTCTCAGGGCATTTTGTAGGGTCTGCTGAGCTTGAGCTCTCCAGTACTTGGGATCTTTCTCTTTCTCTGTACAGAGAGGCAGAGTTACTCAGCAGGGGGTGGGGGCAGCTTCCCATCCTCAGACATTACAGATACCCCGACTCCTCATGCCTGAGGGCGGAGCTGCCTGGACCTGGGGAGAGAGCCACAGCAGCCCATCTCAGACAGCCCTCATGTAGTTTGTAAACACATACCAGTCCAATCCTCCAAACAAGCCTACAGATCCTGGATTTCTCCCCACATCTCAGACTGAAGAAACCAAGGCTCAGAGATCCCAAGCAACTCCCCCAAGGCCACACAGCTCTGGCAGAGCTGGGCGTCACTCCAAAGCCCACGCTCTTTCCTTCCACCCGGTAGAGAGACATTCTGCTAAGGCAGCAAGTGAATTGTGCTCGCACAATGAGGAGGGCAATGTTTAACCTATTCAAGGGAATAAACGCCTTCCAACTGCAGGACTCCCCGGACGGGCCAGCAATTACAAACTCGGCTCGGCTTATTCATCAAAGTAGGTTCAGCAGGAACCTGACTTAGCGACAGCATTAACAGCAGGGCTGGAAAGCAAGAGTTGCCTTTTGTTTAAGGTGTCAAACTTCTGGGGCAACTCAGGCCCCCGGTGCCTTTCAGGACAGCCGCGGGTAAAGAGCACAGCTCCCTTTTCTCCCACATGCACGGCTTCCAGGCAACTGCCAAGGCTTCACACACAGCAGAAGCTCCCTCACCTCCCAACAGGCTCACAGGGTGGCTACCATTATTTTCCCCACACTGGGAAATGAAGAAACTGAGGGTTGCGAGATCAGAGACGAAGAAGGGCAGGAAACCCTCATGTTTCTCTGGCGGCTCCTGCCTTGGGCAGGCAGCGTGGGGGAGGGGACAGAGGGAAGTGGTTCTCTATCTGAAATCTTGGCCCAACCACATCCCACACCCCTCCCCCAAGAGGCCTCCCCTTGCATCACCCCCACCCCAACTTCCTAGCCCCATACCCTGCCAGCCCCCAGTGCCACCTCTTTCTTCTGAAGGTGTCTACTGAGCTTCCCGATTTCAGGCCCCACAGGCAGAGTCCCCAGCTGGAGTCTGGAGAACCTTGGCCCTCCATGCAGCTGTGTGCCTTTAAGAAAGTTCCTCCCACTCCAGTTTCTGCCCCAGGAAAATGGGAGAACATAGCTACCAACAGGCAGTTTCAGGATTCGAGGAGATAAAGCCTGGGCAAGTGCCCTGGGCCAGTGGGTTTGATCAGGGACCCCACTGGCTCTGGGCTGGGTGTCATCTGGGTGGTGGTGAACTTCTACCTATCTCGACCACCTACAAACTGCCCCCCACCCCTGGGCTGGGCTGACAGCAGCTGCCCTGCACCTGTCGCTCCTTCTCGACACGAGCTCTGATCCCAGTTTGCCAGGTTCCTTGTCGTTTGTTCCCTGAGAGATTGGTGGTCTGGCAGGGACGGAGCCCTTGTCTTATTCACCAGAGTTATCCCGGGGCCTGAGAAGGGTTTAGTGGCTGTCAAGCTGACTCCATTGTCAGAGGACTGCTTTAAGCACTGACAGTTTTGGAAAACTGGGTATCAGAAGGCCACTGTTTTTCGAGACCATTGTATGACACGCACAAATGCTGGTGACAACGAGCTACGTAGAGTGCTAGTGAGTAGGCACTGTAGGGTTCTGTTTGTATGCAGTTCAAAACAAGCAAAACTCATCTATCGTGGCAGGAATAACCCTAGTCACTTCCTTTCCTTGGTAGGGTGTTGGCTGGAGGGGCACAGGAAAGCCCGTAGTGTCCCCTGACTGGAAATGTTCTGTCTTGATCTGGGTGGTGGCTACATGGGTGACCCCAAGGATACACGCCGAAAGGCATCATGGGATTGCAGAGGGAACAACAACGTGGGGATCCAGAAGCTCAGGTTCCTTCCGCAGCTCTGCTACTGACTTACTGTGAGGACTGGCCCTCCTTTATATGCACCCCAATTTCCTCATCTGTTGAAATTTCTTCTTCCTGGGAGCATCCACTGGACAGATGGAGGAATTAACACTCAGGGAGGGCAAGCGGGGACTTCCAGCCACATAATGGATCGAGCCAAAGACGGCCCCCCTCCCAGAAAAGATACCAAAATGCTGAAAAAATAAACAATCAAGAAGAGTACATAAGGTGCTGGCCCTGTGGCCGAGTGGTTAGGTTTGCGCTTCGCTTCGTCAGCCCAGGGATTCGCTGGTTCGGATCCTGGGCACAGCCACGGCACCGCTCGTCAGGCCATGCTGAGGCAGCGTCCCACATGCCACAACTAGAAGGACCCACAACTAGAATATACTCCTATGTAGTGTACTGAGGGGGCTTTTGGGAGAAGAAGGAAAAAAAAAAAAGAATAGTACGTAGCTTGAAAAAGGAAGAAAAGAGGGAAAGGAAATCCCCAGGAGGCAGAAATTAAGAAGGAATTCAAAACCAGAGAGGTAAAGAGGAGCTGATGCTCAGGGCCCCCTGGGGTGTCAGACCAGATACAGGTCTAGGTTGAAACTGTTTTAATGTGCATTTATGGCCTTGGAGCTATGGAAGGGATGGGGAAAGCAAGCCTGGCATGAGAAGTGTGAACTCCCCTCCAAATCTGAGCAGAATCTAAGTGGGTTCTGAACTACAAACTGAGAAATGAACATAAAAACTCGTCTAGAATTAGTTGAAAAATCAAACATAACGCTGTGCTGTAAACACTTCCATCTGAGTTTCCAACAGGAAAAATCCAGAAAAGAAAATGAAACTCCTGTTGAAGACGAATTCACAAGCAAAAATTACAAACCACAAGGAAACATACTACCATGCGAGAGAGTCAAGCAGACAAAACCACAGGAGACCTAGCCTACCAAGACTTGGAAGATTTTATAGAATAAGTTACATTTCAGATTATTAGAGATAAGAGGGAATAGAAACCCCAATTAAAGAACGGGATAATGTAAAGGGGAAAAGAGTGGGCTATCCAACACCGGCACATGCAGAGCTGGGACCTCCCGCTCTGAACATCTGGTTCCAGCTCCTAAATTCTTCAGATGGTTCTATGACGCTGAACATAGACAGTGCCCTCATCCTGTCCCACCTGTGCCAGGTCTCCCCACCCCTCCCCCTTTGTCCCCACCAATCCTACCTGGCACTAAGGAGTTGGTAAGGCAGGTGCCAATGGCCAGCACTAAGAAGGGTGAAATCATGGTGCGCTCCAAGACCTGCTTTCTCTCTGGAGCCCAGAGGTATGATTGATGTGGGTGAAAGAGGAGTGACTGGCAGTAGTCAGCCGTTAACTGATGTTCCAATCCTAGAAAAAAAAAAAAAGACATGTGGGCCACAGCTGCAGAGTTCATTTGTTCATCCACTTATTCATTCATCGATTCATTCATTATTTGTTGAGCACTTATTACAGGCCAGGCATAGGAAACAGCAGTGATGCACAACATTCTACCGTGACAGCATCATGATAGATAAGAAACCGCTCCTTCCCTGGAAAAAGGGATATCCTGATTCAGCCTCAAAAACGTGCATGCTGGAAGCAACCTAAGTGCCTATCAACTGATGATTGGATAAAGAAGATATGGTATATACACAATGGAATACTACTCAGCCATAAAAAAGGATAAAATCGTCCCATTCACAACAACATAGACGGACCTTGAGGGTATTATGTTAAGTGAAATAAGCCAGATAGAGAAAGACAAACTCTGTATGACTCCACTCATAGGTGGAAGTTAAACATATAGACAAAGAAAACTGACTGGTGGTTACCAGCGGAAAAGGGGGTGGGGGAGGGCACAAGGGTTGAAGTGGTGCACCTGCAACATGACTAACAATAATGTACAACTGAAATTTCACAAGGTTGTAAACTATCATAATCTTAATGAAAAGTTTAAAAAAAATGTGCATGCTGTGCTCCAGCCTCCAGAGACGAGGGCTCACCACACTCCATCCCATAAAAGACGCAGTGCTCCCCAAACACGCCCTCCAATTGCACACCGCTATGCTTTCCCACCCCCTTCATCATCCACCTGGCTCCTTAAAAACCCAGCTGGTGCGGAGGGGAGGCCGGGAATTCAAGGGAAATGCCCCACATCTAACATCCAACAGCGCTTAACTCTGAGCGGTGGTGGGATTTCAGATGATTCCTAATTTGTTGTTGTTGTTCTACTTTAGTCTCCAAATGTTTCTGGAGTAAACCCCAACATCAGAAAAAAAATGTTACTAAATTGATATATAATATCAGTACATTAAAATATTGTTCACAACAGTTTAAAGCTGAAGTCACCTCTTTCAGGAAGCCTCCAGGATGATCACTCATTCCAATATGCTACCTCTGAACGGCATCCTACTTCAATCATTGCGTGAACCTCCTGTTGTGAAAGTAATTCTTTCTTGGTCCATCCCACTCATCACACTGGGAGCTTCTAAGAGCAGAGACCTTGCCTCGTTTGTACTCCAGTAACTGGCACAGCAACTATGTAAATCAGTTGGAAGCCAGTGCTCTAATGACGGATGTAGGAGGGAAGAAAGAATCACCCAAAAGTCCTTCCTTTGTGTGTGCAGAAAAGTCCAAGGGTTGGCAAGAGTGTGGAATGACCAGCGTATCTGTTCACTGCTGGTGGAGTGTAGATTGGTACAACCAGTTTGGAAAATCAGCTGCATCTACCAAAGCTGACACCATACATATGCCGTCTGACCCATTCATCTCCAACAGAAACACACGTGTTCACCAAAAGACTTGTACAAGAATGTTCATAATGGCCTCAAAACTGTGTCCATCTTCAGCAGGATGGATAAATCCATTGGGAGGGTTCAGAAGACGGAAATCTACCCAACAATGAGAAAGAATGATCAACAACTCCACACAACAACATGGAAGAATCTTGCAAAGGCAAGGCTGAGCAAAGGAAGCAGAGCTGAGGGTACATATGGCGTGATTCCCATGACAGAAAGTCTGAACCCTAACCCGAGGCCTTAGAAGACAGGATACAGGCTACACCTGAGGGGTGTAGGGACTGAAGGGGGCACAGGAGACTTGTGAGGTGCTGGTAGCTTTCTGTTTATTCATCTGGGTGCTGGTTAAATGGTGGGTTCAGTCTGAAAATCCCACAAGCTGTCAATTTATGATATGGACACTTTTCTGCATGTATGTTATACTTGAATAAAATAAAAACACTACTCTCTGGGAGCCTATATAAACAATCTATAACGGACACAGACAAAGAGAAACTGGCCTGTGTTCTGCACTTCACCATTTATGAAGACTTTCGCCACGGCTTTCACCCATGCAGTGGACAGAGAGGGAACTATGACCTCCTTTGTAGATGAGAAAACCAAGGCTCTGAAAGGAGAAGTGGCTTGTCCAGGTTACAAACAAGCAAATAGCACAACAGAATTCTGACCACAGGGTTGCTGACTCCAGAGTCAGCAATAAGGTTATCTAAGGGTGAGGCTTCCTGTTCCCCAATTCTGAGATGAAAGTTCTGAAGTTTAACATGTGTATAGATTCCTGTAACCCCCACCACGATCAGGATACGGAACGGTTCTACTCCCCTGCCAAAAACACCTCTCTTGTGCTGTCTCTTTGTAGTCACAGAAGCTCCCCCATCTCTAAACCTGGGAAGCCCAGTTCTGTTCCCCATCACTAGAGTTTTGATCGGTATTGTATCAAATCTGTAGATCAATCTGGGGAGAGTTTACATGTCTGCACTGCTCAGTCTTCCAAATACCAACACAGGATGTCTCTCCACGTATTTTGTTCTTTTTAGTCTTCAGCATAAAGATCCAGTATGGGTTTTCTTAGATTTATATTGACGTATTTCACTTTTTGGGGAGCTATAATAATAACATTGTTTTAATTGTTCATTGCTAGTATATAGAAATACAACTGATTTTTATGTTGACCTTGTATCCTGTGACCTTGCTAAATTCACTCGTTAGTTCTGGGACTTGTGTATATGTCTGTGGATTCTTTGCCATCTTCCACAGAGAAAATCATGCCATTCACAAACAGGGAGAGTTTTAGTTCTTTCTATCCAATCTCTATGCCTTTTGTTTTTTTCTTGCCTTATTGCACTGGCTAGAACTTCCAGCACCCTGATGAATAGGAGAGGCAAGAGCGGACATCCTTGCCTTGTTCCTGATCTTAGAGGAAAAGCATTCAGTCCTTCAGCATTTGAGGGTGTTTTGAAGGGTGAGGTGGAGATTTGGTGGGAAAATAAGGAACGTGGTTTTGGACATGTTGAGTTTGCGATGTCCTTCAGAAGTGGAGACGTCAAGTGAACAAATGGATACATGTTCCGGCACTTGGGAGAGAGGTCTTGGCTAGAGGTATACACTTGGGAACCCTGAGCATATAAGTGGCATTTAAAGAATTGATGAAACTTGACGAGATCATCCAGGAAGAGGGAATGGAAACGTAAGACAACAATATGGTAAAAGCCCTCAGAAAACCAAGAGTGGAAAAGAATTTCCTTAAGTTGATAAGACTTTATACCAAAACCTACAGAACCATAATACGACTGGAGAAGCTTTTGGCATATTCCCTTTAATGCTGACTTATGATTATAAAGATTTGGCGGCAACCTCTCTGTCCATAACTAGGGGAATGAATTAGTAAAGGGTAGCAGAGGCAATATCTATGTGGCGGTGGAATTAAAACCAGGAGTTAAAACAGTAGCATGGATGCAGCTTAAAAGCATAGGATTGAGTAAAGAATGGAAAGAAGAAAATGCACTACCTAGTATGTAAATGTAAACAGAACACGGCGTAACTGACAAGGACCCACGCAAATTCAACACATCAGCGTGAGAACCTTTGGGGGGCCGTGGGATTGGTCCTGGGGAGCAGGGATGAAGGGTAAGCTGAACCAACAGAGCAAAAACTAAGCTCCTGATGATGCACCGTGCACGGAGAAACAGGACTTAGGCAACTCCCTCTGCACCTCGTGTCCAAAGCAAGTAAATAAGGAGAAATAAAAAGGAAGGGTGGCCCCAGGAGAGGTAAAGGGCTCCTCCAGCCCTGTATAATTATTCTCTCTCTCTGTTAGCCTGACGCTCTGTGAGAGTAGAGACTATCTTCCTCATCTTTGAATCCTCAACTCTGCACAGAAGCAGCTCTATAAATGCTCACTTAATGAAAAGCCCATGATTCAGGCTGAAATGCTCTGAATTTTGGTCCCAGGGACGTGGCATTGAGATGGGCCTGTCCTGGAGACAGGCAGGTGCCTTCTCTCATTGCCTCCGCCTGGAAAGGAAAGGGGGGTGGGAATATGGGAAACCCTTCTGAAGCCAGAGTCTCCCTGCTGGCTCCCCAGCTCGGCCCCCACCCCCACTCAGAGACTCTCCACTCAGAGAGTCTGCCCTCTGGCAGCCCCGGGTGATGGGCTCCGTGGGGCCCAGTCTGGGGCTGCGGGGGCCCCGGCTACCCACCACCCTTTGCCAATGCTATGCCAGCTCAGAATGGAGCCTCCGGGTGTGTAGCAGCCCCATCGCCCCCCACCTCCCAGCTGGCCTGTCTCTGCCAGGCTCCCGGCTACGTGCCCTGATTATTTATGACAAGTGTGCAGAAGTCCAGAGCTCCGGAGAAGGAGCAGCTACTTGGCAGGTCAGGGGAGGCGGCAGAAGCGCTGGGCCGTGGCGCTGAGGGCTGACTCAGCATCCTGGGGCCCAGGAGTCCCTCGTAGTCGGGCAGAAAGCCAGCCCTGTGCTGGGTCTCAAAAGGTCCAGGACAAATGACAGAATAATAGAACTGCCAAAAATCCCGCCCATTTCTTGGGTACTCATGTTGCACCCAGCCCGGTGCTAACTGTTGACATCTGTGATCTCACTTAATCCTCATGACAAGTGTTGTTAGCCCATTTTACGGTTTAGGAAACTGAGGGAAGGATCTCAGCTAGTCCATGGCCGAGAACAACTTAACCCCAGGCTGACTCAACCTCTCTGGGCCTCAGTTTCCCCACCACGGAGAGGAGAGAGACGAGTGCTACCTTTCTCTATCCCACAAGAGCAAACAGAAGCCAAATGAGTTTAGGGCAGGCGATCCGGCAGGGGAGGGAGTCAGGCCGGAGGCTCTCCTACCTGAGCGGCCTGGCCAGGCGGCAGGTGAAGAAACAGAGCAGGCCCAAGGCCAGCAGCAGGAGGAGGAGGCTGAGGACTGCCGTGAGGACCACGTCCAGAGTAGGGGACAGGAGGGCCATCTCGGGGTAACCAGGGACCCACGGAGCAGACCCCACACCCTGGACACGCCCGGTCACACGAGCCTTGGACTCTGGCTCCAAAGCCTTGGGTCAGTGGCTGTGGCCTGGCTTTGTCCCTGGGGTTAATCTCTGGGGATTAGCCCGGGAGGGATGAGATGGGAGGGGAGACAGCCCACGAAGCTCCCCTCCCCCAGCCCAGTCCTTCCCCACATGACGCTTGTTCATTCAACCGTCTTCATTCATTCTTCATCCCAAACATTTACCGAGCGTCTGCTGTGTACCGGCTCTGTTCTAAGGACGAAGGACTCAGTGGGGAACCAGTCTCTGTCCTCTTGGAGACTCTTGACTGGCCGGGGTAGAAAAAGCAACTACTGTGTGCCAGCTGTTGTGCTCGTGGAATAAAAGCAGACAAGGAAAGGGACCCCTGGCCGGGGCTACGGTCAGTTTTCCCAGCAGCAGCGGCTGCTTCACCCCACTTACAAACCCAGGAATTTGAGTCTGCCCTGAACCAGCCAGAGGGGTGAAGCCATGTCCAGAATAAGAGAAACTGTTCTTACTGAGCACCAGCTGTGTGCCAGGCCCCAGAAGAGCGAGGTACTAGTGTCCCCATTTACAGGTGAAGGAAACGGGAGCTCAGGGGTGCAATGGTAGAGTCAGGATTTGAACCCAGATCTGCTGGCCTCCACAGCCTGTAACCCCAACCCCAGCACTGCCTCAGAACTAGGGTAAAACCAGCTCTGCAGGGTAGCAGCAGGCTTCCATCACACCTTGGCCAGGCATTGGCCCAAAGCCAGCGGTTGCCCAAGGGTCAGCACACACAGGCTGCAGGCAGCTGAGCTGCCGCCCGCCTGGAGGGGCCCTTTCTGCTCCCAAAGTGTCCCTCCCCCATATCCATCTCTTTTGGGTTCCAGCAGCATCTCACGAAGCCAGGATGGTGGTTATGGTTTCCGTCTTACAGATTCAGAAACTGAGGCTCAGAGAGGTGAAGCCACCAGGCACACACAGAGCCCGGCAGCAATGCCAGCTGTCTGCCTACGAGACCAGGCCTTTTCCTATCACACTCCTGCCTCCAGGGACACCGCAGATCCCATGGTACAAAGCATCCAAGGTCGGGGGAAGATGCTTTGACCCTCTCAGTGCCAAGGGAGGTCTGCTCTTCTCTGCTTCAGAAAGGCCACTGAGCTCACCATGAAAACAGGAAAACCGCTTGCGTTATGCCACGGAGCCTTTTTCTTTCTCAATTTGCATCAGATCCTCACAACATCCTAGCGATACAAGGCAGGGGGCGCTTATTAGCCCCACTGGCAGATGGGGAAACTGAGGCTTATCAGGGAAGTCATCCCGTCAAGTGTCACACAGCAAGCAAGTGTGGTCCAGGCCCCAGCTCCATCACTTCCCAGCTGGGTGAGGGGCCAGTCCCTGCACCTGGGAGCCTGTCACCTTACCCACCTACCATCTGCCTCCCGTTCAGGAGAGCATCTGTGTAGTGCTGAGTTTGACATGCTTGACCTTATTTTAATCCTCACTAACCACCCTGAGAGCTAGAGACATTTGTCCCCCTTTCCAGGTGAGGGAACAGAGGCCCAGGGGGCCATGGTGGAGGTAACCCAGGGTCACACAGATGGAAGGTGCTGAGCCAAGCCCTGCACAGGACTCCACACGGGACCCACCCAGGGCTCACCCCTGCTCCAGGCTCCCTCCACCGCAGCTCAGCCAGGGACCCTCCCCACCCACCCAGCTCCTGGGCCTGGGACACCCTCTAAGGCTCCCCCACCCACTAATCTAATAAATCGATATGAGACCCAAGCACTGTCGCCTTGTGCTCCCCAGCCATCCACCGCAGGGCCAGAGGGGCAATTATTGGTTCTTAGGGAGTCCCAGTCTAGAATGCACGGTCCTGGACTGTCTGGGCTGGGGAGGGTCCTTTGAGCACATTTCCCCAAAGGTACCAAACCACAGAAATCACATGGGGTGATTGTGTCCTATTCCTAAGGGGTTACCCAGGGAGGGTGCAGACTGGGAAGTGATGGAAACTTTCTGTACCACGATCTAGGAGGCAGTTAAAAGTGTGTATATAGGGCTGGCCCAGTGGTGCAGTGGTTAAGTGCGCATGTTCTGCTTCTCGGCGGCCCGGGGTTCGCCAGTTCGGATCCCGGGTGCGGAGAGCATGGCAAAAGCCATGCTGTGGTAGGCGTCCCACATATAAAGTAGAGGAAGATGGGCATAGATGTTAGCTCAGGGCCAGTCTTCCTCAGCAAAAAGAGGAGGATTGGCAGCAGTTAGCTCTTCCTCAAAAAAAAAAAAAAAAAAAAGTAAAAATTCCTCCAGGGGCTGACAGCCCTGCGCTGCCTGTATGACTAGGTATTATAAGGATCCGATGAGATTTGAATTAAGGGAGGGTTGAAAAAGAAAAAGTTTTAATATAATGGTGTGACCGCATTCAAATCTTAAAAGAGATTAAAGAGAGTTAACAACTCACAAAAATAAGCCCCTAGTTCCCCCCCCACGCCAGACCTACTCAGTCAGAACCTCCCAGGGCAGGGCCGGGCAAGTCATTCTGCGAGCAGTTGGAGAACCATCGCCTTAGAGATTATCCCATTGCTCAGATGGGAACACTGAGGCCTAAAGAAGAGAAGAGACTTAGCGCAGGTATTCCAGCTCCTGCTTCCCAGAGACACACAGGGAACAATCAGAACCAGCCGGGAGCCAGCATCCTCGGGCCCGACAGCCACGCCTTCTCGCCCCTTTCGAGGAGCTGGGGCTGCAGAGTGCGGAGTCCTCCCTGTACCCCGGGTGGGTGTGGGCAAGGGGCAGGGGGCTGCGGGGCTCCTGGAACCCTGAAGTGGGCTGCAGCAGCTGCCCAGGAACGTTTCAGCTGCAGCGTCCGAGAGAAACACGGAATCCTGCTCTCAGCCCAGCCCAGCGTCTCTGGCACGCCTTGCTGGCCGGGACTTTGTTCCCTCACTGACAGAAGTGATTTACGGCAGCCATGAAGCAGCCTCTGGGTGAAGGGCCCAGGATGCAACGTGGGGTGGTCAGAGCAGCTGCAGGTCAGACGGAAGGAAGGACCTCTCGAGGCGGCCGTGGGCCAGGTACCAGGGAGAGAGCAAGGCTCAGCTCTCCAGCTGACAGCACCCCATCTGGGCAGAAAACAGACGTGGGAGCCCAGGGACACCGGGAGTCAGCCCTGCCTGCTGCCAAGCCATTGTGTCTTGAGGGCTCCGAGGAGGTGCCGGCTGTCCCCAAGCACCTCCAGCCTCGACACCTCTGCACACCGCGTTCCCGGGTCTGGAATGTTCCCTGCTGTCCACCCGATGACGTCCTCCCGCCCTCCTGCACCCCCCGCCGCAGCCCAGGCTCCACCCCGAGCTCCCAGAACCCGGGCGCGCAAGACCTTGATCGCGGTTATCAGAGTCAGAGAACCGCTGCTGTCGCCTCCTTCCCATGGCGTGAGCTCCTAGAGAGCAGGGACGGAGCTGGCGGCAGCCCGGCGGCTGGCAGAGCCTGGCGCATGGCCACGGTGGGCAGGGAATGTCAGTAGGGGGGTGGAAGGGTGCTGGGGTCAATGATGAGCGGCCAGAGGGGCAGCTCGGTGTCAGTAGGAGTGAGCCCTGGAGCCAGGCCGCCAGCGTCAGATCTGGCCTCTGCCCCTCTAGCGCTGGGAGCTCAGGGCCCCACCCCACCCCTCTCTGCCTCAGGCTTCTCACGTGCAAAGTGGGGGACCGAGAGAAGCTGTAGGGTTGTTGTAAGGATATATGAGTTAATACGTGGAAAGACTTAAAACGGAGCCCAGGACACGAGAGTGTTCAATGCATGTCGGCCAGCAGCTATGATTACAGGCAGGGGAGGATGGACTGACGGACAAAGGATGGGCAAGTGGGGCAGGATGAGGGGCTGGCGCTGAGAACGGACAGATCCTTCTCTGCCCAGCCGGCCAGGCAGCCATTCGCCCCGGGCTCCCCCACAGACCTGCTCCCCTGGGAGCCCCCGCGAGGGCTTCTAGCTCCAAGACCCTGAAACCAAAGACTCGCCTGCCTGCTGCGTACCCGTACTTGTGTGTGTGTGGGGGGGGGAGGGGGTGTTTAATTAAGGGGTGGAGGTCCCAGTTCTTAGAGTAAAGGGGCTCCATGTTTCCTGACAGGACCAGACCTCCCTCTCTCTCTCCCTCTCTTTCCCTCTCTCTCCCTCTCTCTCTCTCTCTTTCTCTCTCTCTCTCTCTCACACACACACACACACACTCACACACACACAAGAGTGGGAAGAAATAACCCCCCAGGCAGTCTGACACTTTCTTTTCCTCTTAAAGGAGAGAGAGAGAAAACATCCAGGGTCAGCCCAGAAGGTTCTGCAGAGGGGGTAGGAGGACGGCCAGGCTGGAAGGATGGTAGGATTGAGATGAACAGAGAGGGCGCTCCCGACAGAAGGACCCGAATGTGCAAAGGCCAGAACACAGGGATGCAGCATTCAGAGGTCAAGGAGAAAGGCAGGAGCCGACAGCTGGCGACAGAGGACAGAGAGGCAGCCTGGACCGACCACAAAGGGCTGTGCTCCCTGAGCTTGGCCTGGTCAAGAGCAGGCCCTTTGCACGCCCCGTCTCACTTACTGCCTCCTCGCCAGCCCACTTCACGTTGACGCTCAGATGGTCTGCCGCTTGCCCAAGGCCACGCAGCAGAGCTGGAGTCAGAAGGCCCACAGGTCTGGGTTTTGGAACCCGAGATTTTCTGGGGATCCCTGGGCACCTGGACACTCTTGATCCCACCAACTGGCTCTGCAGGAGAGGACTGAAGCCAGTCCAGGTTCAACTCGTGGGAGGAAAGCTGGCAGCCGGGAGCCGGGGGAGGGAGACGGCAGGGCCCAGAGACAAGAGTGCCTGAGGCCTGGGGTGGCTGGCTTGCCCGGGCAGAGGAGGATCACGGACGGCTGCTCCATGGGTACACAGGCTTCCACCACCCCGCGGAGACGACGTGTTCTGTCCCAGGCCACCTCCCTCTGGGCCAGGCCAGGAAGCTGAGTGGGCTGGGGACACGTGCTGTGTGTCTCTGAGGCAACCACCCCTGTACTCACTGCGGCAGAAGCCCCTCCAGTACCAGGAGACATGGCCATTCCATCCTTGCTCTCACAATCAATAATAAGGAAGGCACAGAGAGGGTACGTGACCTCCCCAGGGTCACCCAGCACATCAGTGGCAGGGACAGGTCCCCCCACTAAGCGGCTAAGGACTTGGGGGGCTTTTACTGGAAGCACAAGGCGGCCTGTGAGGCGGAGTGTGGATGCCAACGCCTTCAATTCCAGACACTGATGATTTGTGTCAACCAAAGAGAACATTTCAAACTGAGACTATGAAAATCCTTATTTTACACCCTTTTTCATTGTATTTTTAATAATAACAGCAAACTTTTTCATAGCCTTTACTGTGTGCAAGGCAATGTTTTAAACACTTACCTATATTAACTCATTTAATCCCCACAACAACCTACAAGCTAGGCACTATTATTATCCCCAGTTTACAAAAACAGAAGCTCAGAGAGGTTAAGTCGGTTGCCCAAGGTCACACAGCTAGTAAGTGACTGAGTCGGAATGCAACGTTCCTTGTTTCTGTGTCCCAGGGCCAAGTATAAACTCTTTCAAAAGCAGCAGGAAAGACTGGAAACGAACCACATTGTTCTCTCTGCAATAGGCACACGATGTATTTGCAGATGACAGGATGACATGCAGTGACTATTTGAGCACACACTGTTCCCAAACGTCATTTCACTGTAGGTGCATCATAGCCATGGAGCCAGGGCTTCCCTTGTCCCTACTTTACAGAAGAGAGGTGAGGTGACTTGCCTAAAGTCACACAGCGTGAGTGTCCAACAGTCACGTCTAGGACAGTCACGTCTAGGACCGACTGAGGCCCTGGCCCTGATCTCTTGGTGGCACCTGTGGCCTGCCCTGCAACGGGGACCACCTGCCACTTGTGGGGGGTTGGGGGGGCAGAATCTCAGGCTGGAGACCTGGCTGAGGCCAGGCCAGCGACCGGGACACAGCCCTCCTCCCCCATATTCCCCGCTTTGGCGGGTCCTCCCGCAGGACTCTGACCACCGTGCTCTTCCCACTCCCGGCCCGCCCCCCACGCCCCGGCGCCGTCCCCGAGGAGAAGCAGCCTCCATCCACAGGCCCCATGGGGGCCCCGCAACAGGGGGCCGTGAACTTGTGACCCACTGGGTGGCGGCCAATACAAGCAGCGTCTCTGGTGGCACATGCAGGGGGCTCCCGACCACCCAGCTCGCGCCACAGCCGGGAGGACACGGATGTTCCCAGAGAGAGCACTCGCGCACCGGGCCACGACCCGGCGTTCCCCACATTCCCAGAGATCCTTCCCACTGGCAGAGGCTCCAGCCGCCGTTGCGTTTGGTCTTCACGGTGACCCTGGGACGCAGCAGGGAAGGGACAACATCCGGACCCCAGACAGGAACCCGGAGCGCACGGGGGTGAGGGTCCCACCCAAGAGTGCTGTGCTCAGCAGAGCCCCTGCTGCTTACTGGCTCCACGGCCTTGGGCACGTCACCCCACCTTCCTGGGCCTCAGCGTCCTCACGTGCCCGAGGGGCATGGTCACAGCGGGTGCCTGTGTCATGGCGCTATGGTAAGGAGAATCCAACAATGAACATTGAGACAGAGGCCCGGGGCTTGGCGCGTGTTACACACTCAGTAAATGTTAGCTGGAGGAAATAGTGAGAACAAGGGAGCCAGGCACTGTTCTGAGTGCTTTCCATGCGTTCATTCATCTAATCCTCACAACAACCCTATGTGGTAGGAGTTAGCATTGCTCTCGCTGTGCAGAGAAGTTAAGCAACTTGGCCGAGGTCACACAGCTGTTAGCACACTATGAAGCGGAAAGGGGAGAACTCTTAATGGAGCATTTCCTGTGTGCTGGGAAATCTGGTTCAGCCTTCTGAGAACCCAGGGAGGTGGGAATTATCAGATCTGGGTCAGAAGACAAAACTGAGACCCAGAAAGAGGAAAGGAGGTGCAGGTCACACAGGAGGCATGTGAGAGAGCTGGGAGTTAGCCAGGCCTGGCTGGCGGCACATCCCGTGCGCTCGCTCCCCCATCCCAGTCACTTGCCAGCTTCTGTCACTGATGGCAGACCTTAGGCTTCCCCACCCAGATACACCCAGGGAGCTGGCACCAGTGTGCCAGGTGAAGTCGCCCCTCCTGCGTGCGTGTGTTTGTTGGGGTCTTGGCGGTGAGCGCTGCACGACTCCCATGGTGTGTGTGCCCGTGACCCGTCCTCATGTCGGGCTGCTCCCTCCAACCCTGGACCAGCTCCGGAGCTTTCCCGTGATTGCAGCCTGCTCAGGGCCTCTCCTATCTGGACAGAGCGCTCCCTCCACAAAGGGAGGGCCTTCCGTCCCACTGGCCCCTCCCGCCTGGGCCGGCCCCTCTGGGTTTGTTATTCTGCACAGAGAGGCCGAATACTCAAGGGCTGTTTCCTCGTCTGTAAATCAGAGATAATAAATGCCATTCTGCCTCCAGTATCAATTTCTTGGGAAGGAAGGAATTTTGTGAACTATAATGTGCTGTGCAGATGTTTCTAGGGCTTTCCACTGCTCCCCCTCTAGTGACTGTAGCGGATATTTGCTGTAACGTTGGCCACCCAGAATCCATTCCCCGTTCCTAACAACACCCAAAGTTTCCTTGGGGAAGTACCCTCCCCCTTTCAGCCCTGTGGTCTGGGTGAGATTGATCTCACCTCCAGCAGCTCCAGGTGAGTCCTGATAGGCTTAAGCTGGAAGACTCTCCCCACCTGGATGGTGTGTTGTAAGGGTGTGAGGCAATGGCGAGGGGACTATGGAGTGAAGATGAGGCAACCCCTTAGAAGGTGGATTAGAGGAGGGCAGAGTATCTGAGTCTTTGGCGACATTGCTTAAGCCCCTTGATGCAGCCATGCCTGAAGCCTACATCTGAACATGCTGGTTACATGAGCCAATTAATTCCCCTTATTGTTTGCCTTGGACTTTCTGTTATTTGGAACACAGAGTCTAACCTTAGAACTTCAGTTCAGCCAGTTTCTCTCAGCCCCTTACACTGCAAGCAACCACATCGTGCCATACTCAGCCAGCTATTCCCACCAAAGGAAAAATCTTGCAAACAAGCTAAAGATGGGTCAATAAGTTTCAAGTGCATGGTAAAATAAGAGTACAGCTGAATACAAATTAGGTTTTCCTCCTGGAATCTATAAACCTGTGGAACTGTAGGAGGTCCTTGGGGGGGAATCTGGCTAAGAGCCCCACTCCGTGCAGGGCTCTGACCCTCCCCTCCAACAGGTTGTTGGCGGTTGAGTTTCACAGCTCCTTGACCACCAGGTTCCGAGTACCTCCTGTGGCCAGGCCCTGTGTTAGGGGCCGCAGGCACAAGCTCTGCCTTCTAGCACTTCAGCCTACTGACGACTCCTCAGAATACGCTTTTTTATTGGGTTTCACACAAAAGCCCTGGGAGGCCAGCGTACAGGGGGAACGCTGCTACACGCATTTCACAGAGGAGGAAACAGAGGCTCAGAGAGGTGAAGTGACTTGTCCAAGACCCCTCTGCCAATGAGGGCCAGGGCCCGGCCACGCCCCTGACCTGCCCGGCTCCAAGCCCGGGCTGTTCCTCCTGGCCTTTGGATGGCAGGGGTGGCACTGGGGCTGTCATTTCTGTGACATAGTTTGTTCCACTTGGGGGCAGTCAGAGTGGTTAAGAAGCTAAAGAAAACAAGAAAGCCAGGTGTCACCGGCTTCTTGTTCGCCCAAGGGTCTTGGCTCCCTGAGAAGCCCGGGCTCAGCGCCATCCAGCTCCACTCTCCTGAGGCTCAGCTCCCGCAGGCTGCAGCTGGAGAAGGACCAGGCCCTACCCCGAATGAAAGCCAGGCCCCAGTGCTCTCATGGGCGGCCCCTGGCACCCCAAGCGAGCTGTCCTGGCCTCTGGTGCCTCTGCCCTCGGTCCCTAAGGTCCAGCGGACACTGACAACACCCCCATGCACTGGGGCCTTCCCTATGTGTTATCCAACCGACATTCGCTTCGACCCTGTTTACTGAGCTCCTACTACACGCCGGGGGCTGTTCTAGGTGCTGAACCAAACAGCCCAATCCCTCCTCGTGGGTGGCGAGCGGACGAGGAAAGAAGTCAAATCAAAAGGACGCCAGGTGGTGGTGAGTGCGACGCAGAGGAAGAAGGCAGGGAAGAGGATGGGAGCGGAGGCGGTGGTCGCGGATTTAAATAGAGAGGCCAGAGAAGGTGTCAGCAAGAAAGTCCCCATCGGATCCTGCAGCGACCCCACGCAGCCGAGCGGCGGATCCCACTTGGCTAGGAGGAGACCGGGGTTTCCGAGTCGGCGCGGGCCCACCTGCCCGGCCGGGGTCGGAGGTTCGCGCACGGCTGCCGCGCTCCCACGCCCTCTCCCCTAGCGCAGCCACATGGGCCGGGAGCCTCCTGCAGAGGAGGAAACTGAGGCTCTGAGAGGCGACGCCACACGCGCAGGCCCGCTCCCGGGGCCGCCTCTCGGCCAGGCGCGCGTCGCCCCCCGCGGAGCCCGCTCGCAGCCTCGGCTCCAGGCTCGCGGAGCTCAGCGCTCCCCCGCGGACTCCGGGTCCTCCGTCGCCCTCCTCCCTCTCCCAGGGCCCAGCTGGCTCTCCATCCCGGTCATACGAGCCCCTAATTGTCCACCCCACTCTTGTTCTGTCTCCTCAATTCACTTGTGGCCCATCCCTAAGCCCGCGTTTGCACCAAACCTACGA